ATGCCTAAGTGATGTGGCTCTATGAAGAAGATTGATATTTTGTAACTAACCTTGTTCTATACCCTAGTTGAAATATAGATATAAGTATAGAAATAAATTTATTATTTGTATTTCATTTCAGTACGCAGTTACATTTCATATTGTTAAGTAGCAAAATGACGATCAGTACGATTGTAATTATGATTGTTTACTGCAGTATAGTGATGTAGGCATACAAGTGTTTGCCTGGTATTCTGCATCAAATTCAATTGTAAACATGAGACTTGGTAAATATTTACCTATATCTTGATATATATACTGTTCTTTCTCTAGTAACATTTTTCATAGGTTAATTTCCTTGGATATTTACTGCAAGTGTGTAATCGAAGATAGTACACATGTTATAATTAGTTGAAAGAATACATCACACTTGACATTAGAAAAGTTTACAGATGTTAGACTTACTGCATACTTCCCACCTCTCACAATGGAAAAGTGTGGGCAATAAATCACTTGCTACCACAGTCCACTGCACACATAATCCCCTTTCAAGGCCAATCATGATTACATGACCATGAAAGGGGGTGTGCCCAGTGGACTGTGGCCACAAATGCTGTAAGAAAGGGGAGATAATCAATCAGTGAGTAACGATGAAGNAGAAAAACATGATATTAACCGAAACATGACATAAACAGAATACATATTTTCTGATGTTTTTCAACCCTCAAAACCGGAAGTGAACTTAGTCAAATGCCTAAGTGATGTGGCTCTATGAAGAAGATTGATATTTTGTAACTAACCTTGTTCTATACCCTAGTTGAAATATAGATATAAGTATAGAAATAAATTTATTATTTGTATTTCATTTCAGTACGCAGTTACATTTCATATTGTTAAGTAGCAAAATGACGATCAGTACGATTGTAATTATGATTGTTTACTGCAGTAGTGATGTAGGCATACAAGTGTTTGGCTGGTATTCTGCATCAAATTCAATTGTAAACATGAGACTTGGTAAATATTTACCTATATCTTGATATATATACTGTTCTTTCTCTAGTAACATCTTTTTATGGGTTAATTTCCTTAGATATTTGCTGCAAGTGTGTAATCGAAGATAGTTACACATGTTATAATTAGTTGAAAGAATACATCACACTTGGCATTAGAAAAGTTTACAGATGTTAGACTGCCCTAGCTCCCCAACCACAGGTGAATATCATGTTAACAAGTATGTAAGTCAATCTATTGTTTAACAGTCAGCCAGGTGTAACCTATTGTTTGACCGTCAGCCAGGTGTAAAAAATACCCTGTTAGGTCAGGGCATTGTTAACATAATGCGTCCAGGGTGTGAAAGAAGGTCCCCAGGGCATTTACCATGAATCATTACCGCCATTTACCTGTATTTTTTTTGTGGCAGTGGCCAAAATAAAGTGATATTAAGAGAAATCAACATAAAATCAGGTGATAATAAAAGAATTGAATTGCATAGATTATATAGCAGGAAAAAACGGTGCATCAAAAAAACATGATAATAACCGAAAAGTGACATTAACAGACGTGATATTAGGTGAAATGTACTGTATATATAAACCTCATAGCCATTTTTTGGAGAGACCTGTTTTGGAGCCCTTAATGATGGAAACTACTGTATGAACGGATTGACCGTTATTAAAAAGCAATGAGGTTTTCTGTTGTTTACTACAATGTCAAGTCTAAGCACATATAATTATATTCTGCGATACAGCTTTGGTCTAAATTTATGAAAATGTTCAATTGATCGGGGGGGTTACAAAAACTAGGTATTTTTATTTGTAGCAGAACTGGACTGGGTCAATCTTCGGCGACCAGGATACTCAATTGGTTGAGTGTCTATCCATGGGCCTCTTGTTTTATTGTCCTGGATCACATATTTGTTGAAAATCGTAGTCATGTACATATATTTACATTTGCTCTTTACATGCATCCTTCCATTGTAATGCATTGCGAAGGCAAACATTGTTATGAGTCTATAACAACATTTGCTATTGTAACGTCATCAATCTCTATTGTGACGTCATCAATCTCTATTGTGACGTCATCAATCTCTATTGTGACGTCATCAATCTCTATTGTGACGTCATCAATTTCATTGCTGTCAACACTTGATTTGCGGTTCATAAACTGTTCGAAATAACTAAATTAATCAAAATGTAAATATAAATAATAAATATTATAGCAAATATTGTTAATGGTCCTATAACACACATTTCTATTGCTGACATAGTTACATAAAGCCTTGCCAGGCTTTACTAGGTTTTTCATCAATAGCAATGAGTGTTATAGGACCATAACAACTTTTACTAAAACATTCATTGCTTAAGTAAATGACCATTTATGCTTAGTTTACAATGTGACTGATAACAAGATATCTCTGTTCATTTCAGATCATTGGCCTTCTACAGTTCAACAAAAACACTTAAAGACTACAACATTTGGTAATCTGAATAGATCTGAGAGATTCCTGACAATCAGCTGACAAAAATATAACAAATGGATTAGTAACAAATGGATCAGTAACAAATGGATCAGTAACACATGGATCAGTAACAAATGGATCAGTAACATTTTATGTGATTGCATATTTAAAAACTCTGTTCGAAGGAATTAATGAAACTTGTTCACAAAGTCAAAAAAAGGATATGTGTGCCCCACCGCCAGGGTATCATAAAGCAATTTGTATTTGCAATTGTTGAATTTGAATTCATACATTTTGACTTTGAAATAAGATACTGACTCTGCTGATGTAGATTATACTGTGAAGGTTTAACTGCTGATGTAGATTATACTATGAAGGTTTAACTGCTGATGTAGATTATACTGTGAAGGTTTAACTGCTTTCAATAAACAGTGTTTTAACGTTTAACCAGCAATATGGATTTGGAAATGAGTTCAATGGGGTCGGGTGAGCAGATAGTGGCAGACGTGGATGATGTGACCCTCGAGGATGACCTGGAGTACAGCCGTGCTATGTACTTAGAGGAGAATATAGAACCCATTGAGTACAGTCGTCACATCAATGAAGTTGATGAAATCATACCATTTGATTACGATACAATGGGGGTGGTTGAGGATATTAAAGTTCCTCCACATGAGTACAGTAAAGCTGTCTATGAGGTTACTCATGTAGAACCGCAGCCATTTACTGCAGCCATCAACGAGATCTCGGTTCACGAACCTTACCCATATGAAAGAAATATTGATGAATATGAAGAGACCATAAATTTCAAGTATACAAAAGTAATATATCATGAAAGTGAGTCCATTGTAACTGAGCACTCTCGTGGTATGGATTCATTGACCGAGGTGTTGCCTTTTACGTACAACAACAGACTTAATCATGAAACTGATGTGGAGAATTTCGAGTACAGTGAAACGATGTACAAATTGACAGATGTCAAGGTAGCCGAGTATGAAAATGGAATGCATGAAGTAAGTATGTCTGAAAACAAGGATTATAGTCGCGGCATGAACAACCGAGGGTCCAGCGAGGCGAGCAGGTACCAAGGAGGATTTGACAAACAAGAGGAGACAACTGTGTTTGAGTACATGGGAGGTTTACATGACAAGGGTGAAAGCAATGTACATAAATATGAATCTGGCATGCATGATGTGTCTGAAGTACAAGGTGAGGATTATAGTAAAGGCATAGAGGAGGTGATGACCTCAGAAATCAGGGAGTACAGTAAGGGAATGGATGAAAAAGCTAATATTCCCTTTCATGAACACATGCAAGGGGTCAATGTTGTGACCGCTGGTAATCCTATAATACATAGTCGTACTGTGAAAGAGAAGACTAAAGGTCACGCCTTTAAACATAGCTACACACTGTTCGAGAAATCTAAAGGTGAAAGTATGAAACACAGTCTTGGATTCAAACTCAAAACTGTGGAACCAACCTTTGAGTATACAAGGGCAGTTTGGCAGTTACTGGAAGCTGAACCCCTGTCCCACGAGATCCCGCTTAATGCAATGGCTGGATATGAAGAGGACTAATGGAGAGTGACAGCTATACAGCTGTCCTAGGTCTAATTACATACAACTACACTGTAATATGTAACACTGTCAAGGTCAGTTATCTGTAACACTGTCCAGGTCAGTTATCTGTAACACTGTCGAGGACTAATGGAGAGTGACAGCTATACAGCTGTCCTAGGTTTAATTATATACAACTACACTGTATGTACAAATGACATCTTATGAGTTGGTGTAATTGTACAAGTAGAAGAATACACAGTTTATCTGAACTATACAGCTAGGCCCCATTAAGAATTTTGTTTTAATATTTATATATAGATGTACTTCATGTTGATTTCCAGTTATACTCTATATGTAACTTTTATTATTGTAGGTTTATTCTTGACAATCTACCTGAAATCAGAAAATTAATTGATATTATGTTTAACAAAGAAAAGGATGCATTTGTTATGATATTTCTTTTTTTAAGGCGTATTAATGCCATCATTAATGATGATTATATGTGTTGTAGGATATTATACCCATGTATGTGTTGTAGGATATTATACCCATGTATGTGTTGTAGGATATTATACCCACAGAGAACGATTGTGACAGAGGGCGTGTGGAGTGTAGAGTGGTTGTGACAGAGGACTGTGTGGAGTGAGAACAATTGTGACAGAGGATGTGTGGAGTGGCGAACGGTTGTGACAGAGGATGTGTGGAGTGGCGAACGGTTGTGACAGAGGATGTGTGGAGTGGAGAACGGTTCTGACAGAGGATATGTGGAGTGGAAACGGTTGTGACAGAGGACGTGTGGAGTGGAGAACGGTTGTGACAGAGGATGTGTGGAGTGGAGAACGATTGTGACAGAGGATGTGTGGAGTGGCGAACGGTTGTGACAGAGGACTGTGTGGAGTGGAGAACGGTTGTGACAGAGGACGTGTGGAGTGGCGAACGGTTGTGACAGAGGACCGTGTGGAGTGGAGAACGATTGTGACAGAGGACGTGTGGAGTGGCGAACGGTTGTGACAGAGGACGTGTGGAGTGGCGAACGGTTGTGACAGAGGACGTGTGGAGTGTAGAGTGGTTGTGACAGAGGACCGTGTGGAGTGGAGAACAGTTGTGACAGAGGACCGTGTGGAGTGGAGAACGATTGTGGCAGAGGACCATGTGGAGTGGAGAACGATTGTGGCAGAGGACGTGTGGAGTGGAGATCGATTGTGACAGAGTATGTGTGGAGTGGAGAACAGTTGTGACAGAGGACCGTGTGGAGTGGAGAACGATTGTGGCAGAGGACCATGTGGAGTGGAGATCGATTGTGACAGAGTATGTGTGGAGTGGAGAACAATTGTGACAGAATCTTAGTGATTGGTTTGAATACGAGTTGATGTTGTTGATGTGAGTGTCCCATTTGAGATAGCTCTGTAGTTATAATCTGAAGTACTTATTGGAGTCAATTTGTTGTATGGTTGTATTGGTTGTATTGTACGGTTGTATTGTATGGTTGTATTGGTTGTATTGTACGGTTGTATTGTATGGTTGTATTGGTTGTATTGTACGGTTGTATTGTATGGTTGAATTGTGGAGTTTCTAAGTGTTTTGTCTTTGATGTAGAAATGATACTGGGGTAGAGGTTTACCGTATGTGCCAGTTTTCTGCTGTGTTTATATATAGTATGCCCTGTTGTATTGTTTAGTATATTATAGTGTCTCGGCAAAGAGTCTGAGGATGCTAAGTTTTCCGTTCTCAGGTAGGTTGTTGATGTACAAAAGAAATAAGATGGGGCCTAAGCAGGTACTTTGGCACACAGCTGATGTAACTGAGATTGTATCTGTTTTCCTTCTGGTACGACAATTTGGGTGCTGTATGATAGGACAATCTATAGGAGTGTGTTCCCTGTTATCCTGTTGTACTTAAATTTGTATGGTAGTCATTTATGTGGGACTTTGTCAGTTGTGATGATATCTGTCTGTGTGCTTGTGTTACTATTTTGTGCAAGGTCATGGATGACTGATATGAGGGTTTTTGATAGGTTGGATTATAAGCAGTTTTTAAAATAATCTTGTTTTATTATTATTATTAGCTTTTAGCCAAATTATGTTGGTAGTATCTTTAGTCCATTGGGATACCATTTTTTTTTTTACAAATAAAGGTGATAATTGTTGTCAGTGTAATATATAGAGGCAAGATCAATAGGTGTGAAATTGTCTGATTTGTTTTCAGCAACATCTCCTCCTAAAGTACTGGGCATGTTTCAACGAAAGTGTACTTAGCCTGTGAGAATGTTAAATACATGAATTGAAGTAGCTAAGATTCCCGGGGGGCTCTAGATCTCTTCCTACAGTACTGAGCAGATTTATCATTACTTCCATATTAGCCAGGTGAGTGATTCAGACCCTTTGGCCTGAAAGAGCATGACATGAGATGAGTGAAGGTACCAGCAAGAAATAGTCTTCAAATGTTTTGTTTTTTTATATATATATAAATGTAATTTTTATGCTACCTCCCAAAAAGTATCCGAGACATGAAATTGTGTGTGAATGTTGATTCCTTGACAGCTTCTCTTGGAAGAAGAATACCTTTGTTAATTGTGGATGATTTGGTGACAAATGCAAGTCTAGGATGGTAATGTCTGTAAACTGTTCATTTATGTAACCTGAACATTGGACTTATTACTTGTCTGTAAATATATCTGTTTATGTATATGAAATACACATCCAAAGAACATCTGTTTGATCAGGTCCACTAGTGTCCATATTGGACCATATACTGTCATTACTATTTATGAGACCCTATAAACAGTATGTAAGGAATGAAGTTTTAGCAGTAGTGTGTACACATTGTCGGACATATCCTCTCCTTTATCAATATATATACAGGATAAAAATTAGAAACAGTAATCCCCTTGGCTAGTATACCGTCTAGTCGTTAACTTTAGTGGGGTTGTGATTTTGTGTCCGAAAGTTATTCGCAGGCGTTGAATTTTGCGAACACAATTTCTGGAAGTGTATTTTGGACTTTTTGTTTATTTATTTTTATTTTAACTGTTAATAGTTTTACATAGTATACTTCTTTGAAGACGATGTTTTGACCTAGTAGCCTCAGCTCAACTTATATCACAGACATGTGAATTCTGGATGTTATGGCAACAATCTCGAAATATGCAACGGGTTTTCGACCTTGGTTTCTTAGCATGAAATTAACAAATCATCAAGTGCCTGTGATTCTCTTTTTGATATGAAAATTATATATCTTAAAATCTAAATATACCTCAATTATTTGTTTTATGGATAATTTCTAATTAAGGTATATATATAGTATATAGTATATTAGTCCGAATTATTCTGACGTTTTATCGACTTTTTTCATATCGGTCTGTCGTCGATTAACGACACAACGATATGAAAAAAGTCGATAAAACGTCTGAATAATTCGGACTAATATACTATATACTATATATATACCTTAATTAGAAATTAAGGTATATATATAGTATATAGTATATTAGTCCGAATTATTCTGTCGTTTTATCGACTTTTTTCATATCGGCCTGTCGTTAATCGACGACAGAGCGATATGAAAAAAGTCGATAAAACGTCAGAATAATTCGGACTAATAGTATATATGTATTGTATAATATATAATTGCATGGATAATTAATGATATAGTGGAAGAGGTACACACATACAATACTCAAAGGTGGTTTACACCTGGAAGTAGTGCCTCCATTTAGTGGGACAATCCTGTTTGGTTACTTCTAAAGATATTATAAAGTACTTGTAATCAAATTTTCAACTACAGCTAGTTCCAATAATAACTTTTGATTTACTTTTCTTTTCCTTAACATTTCCACTTCAAAACTAGACCTATGCATTTTTATTACAAGCTTAAATTGTATATGTGTGTGCATTTTTTACAGTGCAATTTTCATAATAAAAAGACATCACTTCAGTGTTATAATATCCTAATCTGTTTAATAAGCCAATATATTTGATAACTTTATGTTTCCAATGTTTTTGGTTGTTCACATTTGAGTCAGTGGTATAAACTAATTGTCAACACAGGTACCTAAGAATATCGTATATATATCATCATTGAGGGTGGCATTTTTACCGAAAGTCAACCTAAATCCCTAAAACATGTAAAATTACTCTGGACACATTAGTTTCGCTTCAAATATTGCGAAACAAAGTCTCCAGTCCCTGTGAATGGTAATACACATAGCCATCACTGTAATTTAGAAAATGGAATCTGATTTTTATAGATTCATGTATATCTACCTTTAATAAATTTATACTCAAAGCAGACCTTGATTTGATTCTAAATGTTGCCCCTTAGGCCGTGACCATGACTTGTGAGGCTGTGACCATGACTTGTGAGGCCGTGACAATGACTTGTGTGGCCGTGACCATGACTTGTGAGGCCGTGACCATGACTTGTGAGGCCGTGACCATGACTTGTGAGGCGGTGACCATGACCTGTGAGGCCGTGACCATGACTTGTTTGGCCGTGACCATGACTTGTGAGGCCGTGACCATGACTTGTGAGGCGGTGGCCATGACCTGTGAGGCCGTGACCATGACTTGTGAGGCTGTGACCATGACTTGTGAGGCCGTGCCCATGACTTGTGAGGCTGTGACCATGACTTGTGAGGCCGTGCCCATGACTTGTGAGGCTGTGACCATGACTTGTGTGGCCGTGACCATAACTTGTGAGGCCGCGACCATGACTTGTGTGGCCGTGACCATGACTTGTGAGGCCTCGACCATGGCTTGTGTGGCCGTGACCATAACTTGTGAGGCCTCGACCATGACTTGTGTGACCGTGACCATGACTTGTGAGGCCGTAGCGTGACCATGGCATGTGAGGCCGTGACCATGACTTGTGAGGCCGTGACCATGACTTGTGTGGCCGTGACCATGACTTGTGTGGCCGTGACCATGTCTTGTGTGGCCGTGAAAGTGTGGTGTTCTTCGTCATCACGTGTATATGCTCATTTCATCTTATTGGCAATTATCCAAACCCTTGTACACAGGTTATCCTATAAGGAAGAGAGTACGTCTTTGAAATCTCAATTATGAAGTAGGTCATCTGAAATAATTGATGACCTTTTAGAAGTGTCGTCAAAGAATCAATCAGCCTTCACTCTCAAATTTTGTCTCTTGGATGACCGTGGCTGCATAGCTTGGACAGGTTGGTTAACACCATACGTAATTTGTCCCATTTCTTTCTTCAGTATATACCAAAACTTCCCAAAGCGCTCTTTTACTGTCTTGGGCCCAGATGAAAACTGATTCTCTCGTAATTGAGTGTTCCGCTCTTTTTGGTATTTCCCTGCTTATTATTTCAAAAACCTTTCATTCTGTAGTACAAGCATTGAAGAAATCCATAGTTTCAGTGTTACTGAGTCATGATCTCATGACCATTTGAGTAGGGAACATGTACTTTCACACAATGCTTTATTCTCCGAAACAGTATTTGGAGACAAAGTGACAGCCTTAATAGATGGTACATATATTTATATAAAACAAAGTGCTGTCAATAAGCTTCAGAGAATGTCTTACGGTGGCCAGAAGGAGCGTAATTATCTTAAATTAATGAGCTTAGCTCTACCTAATTTTGGACACGGTATAGGACCATTCTCTGGAAGCCAAAATGATGCAAGCATTACAAAAACATCATAGACAAGCTCACAACCTACACAACGTGCCGGGATACCGTCTGGGCCGGTAGCTTTTGACTTCGAGCATCAGCCTTAGCCACTATTTCATGAATGGTCATCACACATTGATTATAAGTACAGCGGCACGCTTTGACCTCCCACCTTGACAGGGCAGTTAGGGTACCATAAAGCCCACGCTTTGTGTTGAATCTATAGTTATACATACATGTAGGCCTAGTTGCATTACAGAGAAAGTGTATCAAATTATGAATCTTCTATAATATCAAACACCACTTGACCTCGTCTCGATGAAACAATGAGCATAAAGACAATAAATGTGTAACGTTTCAAAGTTTAGCGGGACGGGTCCGATTGTCGGCGACCACCTTGGTTTCAATCCTGGTCTGCCGGGCCGTGCATTTCCCTCTCCGGTTACAAAAGATTACATGTCTTACAGCTGCAATATTTGTTGCATGGTATACATTTAATAGGCAGATTTGACTTGCTATGTATGGGGGATTTATCATAGTAGGTTTTGAATGGGAGACTGTCAGGGGCGTAGCTGGGATATTAATTTTGTGTAGGCACTTGAGAAATTTGCTGAAAATGTGTATTTTTTTAGTTAAACGACAGCAGTTATTAATTTAATGAATTGATACCAGTGTACCAGTACGTTTGATGACTTAATTAATGAGTGTTAATTATTTAAATGTGAGGATTTAAGCAGACAGTTTCCAACTAATTCCGACTGACAATATTTATAAAATGATTTCAAAGTAGAATAATCACTCATCGTTATCCAAAAATCTGTAAACTAAATTTAAGCTCTTATTGGTGGGAGAGTGGTTCTTGGAAGAGGAAAAAAAAGACTACCGAAGTGTGAACTCAAAATCGATAAAACTAGGGCAAAATTAGAACAAAGAAATAAACGAAATGTGACCTCAAAATCGATAAAACTAGGGCAAAATTTTAACAAAGGCATGGCGACCCTTACAAAATACAATGAAAATAAGACCAGGTGTTCCGGAAAAGTAAATGTCTTCTGTATTGAATATAGGTCACAGATATGTTACGTCCACAAAGCGAGAACTGGGGTAATGACAACAAAACCACACTAAGGAGCATAGTCAACAACATCGACCTTCATATCACACAAAAAATACATATTTTCCAATTAGATCATGATGACGACCACTTAACTTGTCAATAGTCTTCATTAAGCTGCATCCTTGAAAACCTGTGTTATAACTCTGTCCGTCAGCAGTCTACATCTATGATATCATGATGAAGTCATGAAGTTTTGAACTTACGATATTTGCAACAAAATCTTGAATACCGATCGAATCAACAGCAACATAGGAAAGCAAGGATTTTACTCGCGAGAAAGGGAAAGATCACAAGCGGAGTTTAAAGAGGTCACTTGATTAAGGAAAATGACCGAGGCAGAGGAAAATTTAGAGTACTTAATTTCAAGCTCGGGAGGGTATATCAGTTCGACGCAGTCAATAAAATTCTTGTTATTTAAAGACAGCATATCGTTGATAAATTGAAGGACTTGCAATTAGCTAAGGCTTTTAGCTCGCCTGCCCGAATTGCTAGTGAGATTATATACCATGGCGCGGCGTCCGTCCGTCCGTCAACTTTTCCTTTGAACAACTTCTCATGAAGAACCTACTATCAAGGTCACAGGGGTCAAATATGTCAAACAATTCAAACGACTTCTAAAGAAGAACTGAAAGGTGTAGAATTATAATATTTGGCTGGTAGCTTCCAGGCATGAAACCAGACAAACTTTGTGAAGTAAATTGACCTTAACATATGTTCAAGGTCACATGGGTCAAATATGTCAAACACTTCAAACAACTCCTCTAAAGAACTGAAAAGGAGAAGATTTTTTTATTTGTGTGGTAGTTTCAAGGGATTGAGCTTGCAAATGAATATTACCTTGACTCACTTTCAAGGTCACAAACTGCAAACAGCTTCTTTTGAAGAAGTGAAAGGCATGGAGTTGTGATATATAACAAGTAGCTTCCTTAGATGGAGCCCATCTGCGAATGAAAAGGACATTCACCTACTTTATCCTATATATAGCTTCATCTTAATTTAATTTTATATATTAGGTCCAACATGATTCACTGTTGTAAAAACCATGCCCTTATCCCAATGGGGACAGGAGAATGGGACCCAATAAGGTAAAGGTGTTGCTGAGAGACAGAGCCAATATTTGGAAATATTTGTAGTACAGTATAATATGTATTTAACATTTTGCTATGGCTGCTTAAATAACCAGGTGAGCAATACCGGCCCTCTGAGCCTCTTGTTGTTTTGTCCTGATTGCTAAACCAAAAAGTCGGCCAGAGGAAGGGCACAGTTTCTTCCCATAGGTCCATAGAAATGCCTACAGTCAGTTTACTGATGGCAAGTCTTTGCCAACAGACTTAATAATTATTTTAGCCTTTGTAGTGCTTTTCACAAAACAACGCTCTCATACTAGGAAAACGAGGGCGTTCTTTCTATTTAGTATGAGGAATTATTGTGTAATGGGTCGAAAAAAGTAAACAAGCTTGATACAAGAAACATTTTCAAGAAGAGGATGTTCAAGAATGATCGAATGTTTTTCCGAAATCTTCAAATTCCACAATCCGATTAGTCCACTTATCGATTATATAGAGTCACAATACGATTGTAACCTTGATTATACGGTACTAAAGTTTGCATTATGTCTTGGTTGAGTAACAAGGTGAGCCCGCGATAAAATGTAATTGATAAGGATTCTGGTGAAATTTCGTATTCCAAAACAAACGAGGCAAAGGTCCGTATCCTCATCATCAATGGGTATTTGCGTGATTAGCTAGTATTCGACTTTCGAACAATTGGAAAGTGAATAGGTAGGTTTACCTTGGTTATCAAGCATGCTTAGTGGATCCCCATTGGGATGGGGAAATGATGACATACCACTCGTTTTTCTCTCATGTTAGGGCAGGATTAGGCAATGTGCCAGTTACTATTGGTAGTGATGAAGAGGTGCTATGACAAATGCATTACATGACTGCTTTCCAAATGGAAAATTTCTGTTTTGTACCAAACATATCAAAGAAAACATCAGTAGGTTCTTAAAAAAATCTGGTACTTCTTTTAAAGACGGGCAACACATAATCAACATCGTCTTTGGCGAAGACGGAATCGTTTTCAGCAAAAATGATCTTGAGTATGAATCCAGACAAGCAGAGCTTGAACAATATTTTGAAAAAACCCCAAAGTTTCAGCATTATTGGCAAAATAATTTTGAATGCAAAATCAAAGCATGGCACTTCTTCGGGAAAAGAAAGTCGATGATCTTTGGACCAGCAACAATTCGGAGTCAATTAATAACAGATTGAAACAGGTTGCCAATTTCGAACAGCATAACTTACCTCAGCTAGTTGAAAAAATGGCCTTAGTGTCACAAATGCAGATACTTGATTCAAGACGGGCATTATATGGAACTGGCAACTTTAGGCTAGAAGGCAAAACAACATCATTTGAGGTAGACCAGGAAAATTTGGAATAAAAAAAAAACACAAAAAGAAAAAGACGCATATTTTCGAACCTTTTTGGCCAAAAGTAAGAATATTACCCGCGAAAGCAACTTTGCTAAGGCTCCAGGCACAGACTGCTTGTGACCAAAACCGAAGCAAAACTGTGGCAACAAGCCATGTCAAAGGAAAAGACAAAAATCTGAAAGTTCAAGAACAGTAAAAAAAAACACACCAATAGGCCAGTTCCATGAGTGTTGGGTCACAAGTGTGTACTGTACAGGGAATTTTGTGTTACGTCTTCATTTTATTTCCCCGTTTCTCTGATGCTACACATTTATAGATTATTGTATTGGTGAATCACAACATGATCCGCTATCTCTTCAGATATTGCTTTTCGACAATGGACATGTTGTGTCACTCATTAGTTTAATTTTATTTAATGTCATATACTCTTCATTCCCCATTAACCTTAGGTTGTTTTATAGTGTTGTTTAAATTCCAAGTATCTCTTAGGATATATGTTTTTTCCATTATTTACGTGGAAGATATCTCTAAGGATATTAATCGTTTGCTTTTGAGGCCGCTCGGGTGTGGAACAGTCTCCCAAATGACTTTCGAAATGTTGAAAACTTCAAAGAATTCAGGAGGCTGGTCCATTCCTGGGATGGCCCCATCTGCCTTTGCAATATCTGCAAAGAGTGATACTTCACACTGTGCCCTGGTTACCTCTGCCACCTGACATTTTGGATTGTGTGATACTTTTATTGTCTTATTTCCTTTCTTATATGTTTTAAATCTATTCTATATTTTTGCAGCATTTTATTTGTATTTTAATTCCATATATTCTAAAATATTTTTTTTACAAAACTTAATGAATTTTGTTAATTGATTTCGGTATCATTTTTAATTCACACTATATATTAGTGTATATTCTGTCAATTTTTATTCTTTGCTATATTAGCATTGTATGTATATACCACTTCATAGTGTTTTCAACCTAAGTCCTAAGTAATTCTTATGTGATATACAAGTATTCATTCACTATTAACTATAACTTTTATTTACTGACAGCTACTCAGGCCTAATATGTTATGTGCTCAAAAAACTTGCCGCTATATTGCATGCGGAATTGTTATTTTACATATGTTTGTCGCAATAATAGCTCTCAAGAGCTAATGCTCCTTGTTAACCTGTATGCGACGTTAAATAAAGTTTCTTGTATCTTGTATCTTGTTGTATATTTATCTTTTCATTATTCATGTATAAGTAAACCTGGTCCGCTTAATTTGGTATATTTTTCATTTTATATTATACTTGTTGATTTCGTTTTATTTTTATCATATCGTTTCCATTACAAACTTCCATATACCATTGTTTTATCTCAATATTATATCAACTGATTGTTTAAAATTGTGACAACTTTTTCAAATAATATTTATTTCAACAATTCTTTTATGACGATGGCGGATCCAGAGACCTATCGGGGGGAGGGGTGTGTGTGTGTGTAAAAAAACCTCTGGATCCGCCACTGTTAACTAAATATTATTTAAGTGTCGTCTGTGATATTTTGTGTGGTCTTATCCGGATATTTATAGGTGTTTTTGGGGTGTTTTGGGGTGTTTTGGGGTAAATCGTGCCACCCCTACCCTACCTCCAACTAACAGGGACCTGAAAAATTGTCACATCTAGGTACATTTCGATAAAAAAAACTTAGTTTAGGTCCAATTATAGCTGTTATTTATGAATGGCGCCTTATTTTGCGTAGCCTCGGAAGACGAGACAGTTTCACTGCGAGGGGGATCCTTTGATTGGGTCTCTGAACTTTTGATGTTTCGAATTGTTACCATAAACACGGAACTAGATTATCTAAGTCTGTGCCATAAACTTGTTCATCGTTGGTTGTGATAATACGGTTGTTTAATGTCAGCTTGAAAGTTGTATTGCACTTCTGTGCTACAAGGTCTTTTTGAATGTGGAAAAAAACAAGATTCCCCATATTTTGTATTTATATAACATACTCGAGCCTAAGGTAGCTAAGTTCATATGTACCGAGACGTATACGTATAGAGCGTTCGTTATCAGGAACCTATGCAAGTCTATCAATGAATCACATAAACGTTTGAGAAACCAAGCGCTACCGTAACATTGAAGTGTTTACATCAGTCATGTGATCGGACTGGATGTAGACTGGGGATTTTAATGTTCCTGGAAATTTTTCTTAAAGTTAGCAGATGCACAGTCGAAGAAAACCATGGTAATGCGAGTCAGATGTTACACTGAGTAGGGATAGTAATGTTATATAGAAACAGCAAAGTCAGAAAAGTGCGTAGCTTTTGCTAGTGTAACTATGACCAGAGACGTATAATAATAATCTCTGCTCTGACATAAAATATAATATGTTATAAGAAACTTAGGCCTATCGATATATCGAATATTTTCAGGTTTCTGTTTGTTCATTTTCATATTGTCACGGACTTAGATTCCGTAATATTGTCATGAGATTAATTTATGATGTTATTACAAATGTGAAAATAAAATTATGTTGTATTGGATGTATTGTGTGATTGAGAAATGTACGTTATCTGTATGGTCGTCTGATCATGTGCATCGCTTTCGGACGAATCTGTGTTGTTTCGTCCTAAATCTCGTTTGCTGAGGGTTGCTTTGCCCTAAATCTAGTTCGCTCAGGGTTGTCATTGGTATCGTCGCCCTTAAAAAGCAACCACAGATGATCTATTATCTGTAGAAAACTTAAATTGAAGAATGAGATTAACATTAATACAATTGCATATGGAAACAAAAAAACTAACAATTGAAAACAAATATTTTTAAAATACGAACATTTGTCAACAACTTTCACTTGCTTGGAATTGCTTTCATAAGTTTTGGCACAGACTAAGATGTAATCTAATTCCATGGTTTTGGCGTGGCAAATTGAATCTTTGTCCAAGGATCATATATGAAAGCTTTATTTAAATTCGGTATAGTTACAAACGACAAAACATAAGATCTTATGAGCTTTTAACCAAATACATACAAGCATAATAACAATAAATTTATTATGCTTAAAAAGAAATTCTCAATATAGTGGCCTGCATCAATATGGTGGCCTGCATCAATATAGTGGCCTGCACATGTATCACTAAAAGTAGAAGAGAAATAAAATGATACAAAATAAGTGACCAAAGAAAATGAAGTCCATTGCTTTTTGTTACCATATCGTTTTGCTGATTATATCGTTATCCTATTGTTACAGAGCTTGAGGTCATTATTTTTTCAATGCATGGCTCTGCCAGGAGTCGAACCTGGGACCTCTGGCTATCACTAGTCTTTAAGTTCTACAGAATGAGCTTAAGACAAATTCTCTCTAGCCCCGAGGCCTCTTGCATTGTTTAGTGTATATGTAATAAATGTGCCTCTTATACTTTCTATACATGTAACTGTAAGGTGTTCAATATTGCCATCAATAATTGTATGTACGACTAGATTATTGAGGTAATATATATATCATGTTATATAAGACCAGCTGTCACTGGCCCTGCGTCAATCTTTTTATCTCTCCATGGAAGACGACAAGGTAATTCATATTATAATTTGGAATAAGGACCTCGCTACACTTGCTGATACAGATCTAGAAATGCCGGGAGTGCTAGGCAAGTGATGCCGGCCTAGTTGCCGACCAAGTGGTTCCCGGGAATTCTGTATCGGCGAGGGCCGCGGTGGCCACACGTACCAGAGGGAGGGAAGCCTGTGTTACTAGATGTAAATAGCTACTCATCACATATCATGTAAATACTTCCTTCCCCAAAATAAACCTGATGGAACTGTTTTTGTCGTTGCTGCCAGGTCATATGTTTCCGTCTATATGACAAGAACCAGTTAAAACCTAACATATACTTTGTATTCAATTTGTCTTCAATTTCTTTGCACATGTGCTGGATGAAAGCTGATCACTTTTCGAAACACAAACAGACTTAAGTGGGCAAATTTATTTGACAATTTACAAAAAGCAGTTTTCAGTTGCTATAGTTTTTTAGGTCACCTGAGCTTTGCTCAAGTGACCTATTCCAATCGCTTTTCGTCTGTCGTCGTCCGTCGTCGTGCGTCGTGCGTAAACTTTTACATTTTCAACTTCTTCTCAAGAACCAGTGGATGGATTTTTTTCAAACTTGGTCAGAATCATCCTTGGTAGATGAGGCTTCAAAATTGTAAAATTGGGATTCCTACCCCCACCCCTGGGGCCAGGGCGGGGCCCCAAAGGGAAAATTATCCAATATTTCAAAAATCTTCTTCTCCAGACTCACAGGTACTACAGTGATTTTCTCTACGTGGAAAGAAAGATCATCAGGGGCTTTACTTAAATTGTAAATTTCAGGACCCCCGAGCTATCCGTTCTCCCTTGGGGAGGGGGTAAAGTTTACTATAGTTTATATAGGGAAATAACACTTTTGGGTATATTTTGACAACTTTCTGTAGGAAATTATTTTTACTTGGTGAGAATTATCCTTGGAGGTAGATGGTTTCAAATTGTAAAATTGAGATTCCTACCCCGACCCCTGGGGCCAGGGCGGGGCCCCAAAGGGAAAATTAATCAATATTTCAAAAATCTTCTTCTCCAGACTCAGAGGTACTACAGTGATTTTCTTTACGTGGAAAGAAAGATCATCAGGGGCTTTATTTAAATTGAAAATATCAGGACCCCGAGCTATCCGTTCTCCCTTGGGGAGGGGTTAACGTTTAATATAGTTTATATAGGGAAATAACACTTTTCGGTATATATTTTATATATTTTCAGCAGAAAATTGCTCAAACTTAGTCAGAATCATCTTGGGTAAATGAGAGTTTTACTTTGTAAAATTAGGATTCCTGCCCCATCCCCAGGGGCTAGAGCGGGGCCCCAAAGGGAACATTTACCAATATTTTCAAATTCTTATCCATTGATGACATGACAAGTATTGTATTTCACTTAGTTTACATGCTGATTTCCACATCACATCTAAATAATAAAATAAAGCTACCAGTATCTATGATATAACTCAGGTGACCGCTAAGGCCCTTGGGCCTCTTGTTTTATAGATTGTGCATATATATAGTAATCCAATTAATTGCTAATTTCAGCAAACTTAACTGATGTGAGACTGTGGAAACAGCTGTTTTTTTAAGGGGTCTAGATCTGATATTGATGAATGTCAGAAAGTGATATCCCAAAGATTCACATTTACAGTACACGTTTTCGCATCACATATTTTATTTTGTACCTTTTGGATATGAAATATTATATTTAAACAGAGTCTAGACAGTACTGCTTAAAATTGATATATTGCTACAATTCATTATTTTTTTAATAGGTCAAACAAAGACTTAACTTTAAAAGGGCACTGTTTATAATCCAGTCATACAAAGACTTAACTTTAAAAGGACACTGTTTATAATCCAGTCATACAAAGACTTAACTTTAAAAGGACACTGTTTATAATCCAGTCATACAAAGATTTAACTTTAAAAGGGCACTGTTTATAATCCAGTCTTACAAAGACTTAACTTTAAAAGGGCACTGTTTATAATCCAGTCCTACAAAGACTTAACTTTAAAAGGGCACTGTTTATACATGTAATCCAGTCATACAAAGACTTAACTTTAAAAGGGCACTGTTTATACATGTAATCCAGTCATACAAAGTTTTAATTAAGTTACCTCAAGATGCATTTACCGTTGGTCCAATAAATAAGAGCAAAGAGCAACTAAAGAGTAGAAAGGATAAAACTTACATAGAAATAGATCAGACGATGGTGGACACCATATGCATGGTTCCTCTAGGATCTCTTGTTGACACTTTGATCTTTATTAAAATTTCTAGAAATTCCTTAAAATTTCATTTGGAAGACTATATATAGCTAGTGCTTTTGTTGAAATGTTGCATTTTAAGTATCAGAATCATTTACAATTAAATTAATACAGGATCCTTTAAATTTAGTCACCAGCGGCACCAATGCTCTGCTGTCATTTAAGGATAGTGTTGATTGTTCACAATTTCGTAGTGCTCATCTTGTTAGAGCTTTTAACTTGTTAGAGCTAGTATAACTTGTTAGAGCTAGTATAACTTGTTGGAGGTAGTATAACTTGTTAGAGCTAGTATAACTTGTTAGAGCTGGTGTAACTTGTTAGAGCTAGTATAACTTGTTAGAGCTAGTATAACTTGTTGGAGGTAGTATAACAAGTTAGAGCTAGTATAACAAGTTAACTTGTTAGAGGTAGTATAACAAGTTAGAGCTAGTATAACCTGTTAGAGCTAGTATAACTTGTTAGAGCTAGTATAACTTGTTAGAGGTAGTATAACTTGTTAGAGGTAGTATAACATGCAAACTGTCATTGTGATCTTTATGAGGCATTCTGACATAGTATTCAAGTATGCGAAATATATCATTGATTACAAGCTTTAATTTGAGCATCATTAAAAAAATGTTATGGTCAATTGACATTGTTGATGCCACTATGTTTGTACATCCCTTGATCACGAGGTACATGTTTATAGGTATATATTTAATTTGTAGAAAGTCCACTTGTGCGCTGTTAGTGTTATATTGTTATGTATAGGCTGGTGTTTAAAGACAACAGTTACTTAATATGTGTTGTCATTTTACTTATCATTTCCTTATTACCAATGACTTGATATTTTCAGTCATCAGTGGATGTTTGTGTGAGGAACCCGGTAACACATAACACCTGGGACAATGGCCGCTACATTACCTATGAGATCGCAATCAAGGTAAGTGTGGGGAAAAAACCCATTCTGCATTGAAAATGCTGATATTATTTGTATTTTTTGACGAAAAATTTTGGATGAAGCTTTGAGATTCATTCAAAATTTCTACATTGTTAGTGCCACTTAGGTTCATGTGCAGACGTACTCGTATGCAAGTTACTATTACGGAAGATTTTTAATGATCGGTATAGATCATGTGCAGACGTACTCGTATGCAAGTTACTATTACGGAAGATTTTTAATGATCGGTATAGATCATGTGCAGACGTACTCGTATGCAAGTTACTATTACGGAAGATTTTTAATGATCGGTATAGATCATGTGCAGACATACTCGTATGCAAGTTACTATTACGGAAGATTTTTAATGATCGGTATAGATCATGTGCAGACGTACTCGTATGCAAGTTACTATTACGGAAGATTTTTAATGATCGGTATAGATCATGTGCAGACATACTCGTATGCAAGTTACTATTACGGAAGATTTTTAATGATCGGTATAGATCATGTGCAGACGTACTCGTATGCAAGTTACTATTACGGAAGATTTTTAATGATCGGTATAGATCATGTGCAGACATACTCGTATGCAAGTTACTATTACGGAAGATTTTTAGGTCACCTGAGCTTTAGCTCAAGTGACCTATTGCTATCCGTTTTCGTCCGTCGTCGTCCGTCGTCCGTCGTCCGTCGTCCGTTAACATTTTACATTTCAAACTTAAAGTCAAGTTCTGCTGGGCCGATTGAACTGAAAGTTGATAGGAATGATCGCCTCATGGTCCTGACAAAGTGTTGTTATTTTTCGGGTCGATCAGAAATCCAATATGGCCGCCACGGCCGCCATTTTGAAAACCTATTTCAAACTTAAAGTCAAGTTCTGCTGGACCGATTGAACTGAAAGTTGGTAGGAATGATCGCCTCATGGTCCTGACAAAGTGTTGTTATTTTTCGGGTCGATCAGAAATCCAATATGGCCGCCACGGCCGCCATTTTGAAAACCTATTTCAAACTTAAAGTCAAGTTCTGCTGGACCGATTGAACTGAAAGTTGGTAGGAATGATCGCCTCATGGTCCTGACAAAGTGTTGTTATTTTTCGGGTCGATCAGAAATCCAATATGGCCGCCACGGCCGCCATTTTGAAAACCTATTTCAAACTTAAAGTCAAGTTCTGCTGGACCGATTGAACTGAAAGTTGGTAGGAATGATCGCCTCATGGTCCTGACAAAGTGTTGTTATTTTTCGGGTCGATCAGAAATCCAATATGGCCGCCACGGCCGCCATTTTGAAAACCTATTTCAAACTTAAAGTCAAGTTCTGCTGGACCGATTGAACTGAAAGTTGGTAGGAATGATCGCCTCATGGTCCTGACAAAGTGTTGTTATTTTTCGGGTCGATCAGAAATCCAATATGGCCGCCACGGCCGCCATTTTGAAAACCTATTTCAAACTTAAAGTCAAGTTCTGCTGGACCGATTGAACTGAAAGTTGGTAGGAATGATCGCCTCATGGTCCTGACAAAGTGTTGTTATTTTTCGGGTCGATCAGAAATCCAATATGGCCGCCACGGCCGCCATTTTGAAAACCTATTTCAAACTTAAAGTCAAGTTCTGCTGGACCGATTGAACTGAAAGTTGGTAGGAATGATCGCCTCATGGTCCTGACAAAGTGTTGTTATTTTTCGGGTCGATCAGAAATCCAATATGGCCGCCACGGCCACCATTTTGAAAACCTATTTCAAACTTAAAGTCAAGTTCTGCTGGACCGATTGAACTGAAAGTTGGTAGGAATGATCGCCTCATGGTCCTGACAAAGTGTTGTTATTTTTTGGGTCGATCAGAAATCCAATATGGCCACCACGGCCGCCATTTTGAAAACCTATTTCAAACTTAAAGTCAAGTTCTGCTGGACCGATTGAACTTAAAGTTTGTAGGAATGATCGACTCATGGTCCTGACAAAGTGTTGTTATTTTTCAGGTCAATCATAAATCCAATATGGCCGCCACGGCCACCATTTTGAAAACATATTTCAAACTTAAAGTCAAGTTCTGCTAGGCCGATTGAACTGAAACTTTGTAGGAATGATTGACTCATGGTCCTGACAAAGTGTTGTTATTTTTCAGGTCGATCAGAAATCCAATATGGCCACCACAGCTGCCATTTTGGTAAACTATTTCAAACTTAAAGTAAAGATCTACTTGGCCGATTGAACTGAAACTTTGTAGGAATGATCGAATCATGGTCCTGACAAAGTGTTGTTATTTTTCGGGTCAATCAGAAATACAATTTGGCTGCCATGGCCGCTATTTTGCTACTAAGTTCTAATAGGCCGATCTCACTTAAAATTGGTCTAGGAATGATCAGCTCATGGTCCTGACAAAGTTAAGTTAACATTATACTATTTTTTACTCAAATTGGTACATATTTCAACAACAAAAATAAATACTATAGACTCAGGTGACCGTTAAGGCCCATGGGCCTCTTGTTAATGATCAGTATAGATCATGTGCAGACATACTCGTATGCAAGTTACTATTACGGAAGATTTTTAATGATCAGTATAGATTATGAACTGTTCAAATAAATAATAATTATTACTCTTTGATATGAATATATGAAGTAACTATTTATTGATGCTGAATGTTACTAAAGTGTAAGTAGGATTGATTGATCATTTAGGATTGTTTTGTTATTGTCAATACAAAGTACAATTATCTTGATGAAGTTCTACGAGTTTTCCCCCCAAACATCAGGATGTACAATGTATGTTGAGATGATTCCTTGACAAGGACAGTGATCAGTTTTAGGATTTTGAAGAGGTTCAATGAAATAAGAATATTATATTTGTACGTTATCTGATTAATAGTGGACAGCAGGCAGACTTCGGTCACTTAGACCGGGAACTCAGTTTGCATGAGGATGGCCATTTTTGTGTTTTCAGTCATTTTGTGTCGATCTGGGAAGATTGTATGTAAAATATCTGTGGAACATACTGGCTACTGGGTAGTGTTTAGAGATAAATTAAGTACTGACTGAAGATTTTCTGGATGAAGAAGAGCAAACACAACAGAATTAAGTATATATATATGGGCCTTAAGCTTCCTTTTTATCAAAATTTGACCAAAGTTAACAGTTAAACTTGTCATGTTTTCTAGTTTTTCTGTCTAGTTTATAATTATGGATTTATTTAGTAAAAGTTTGTACCTATATGCTGTGTGTCAAAAATATGCATTTAAAATCAGGGAGAACTGCATGTTTTCTTGTACAGTATATATATATATATACATTACCTCTACAGCTGAATTTATAAATCTGCAGATATAATGACTCTAATGCAAAAGATGTACCAACTCTGGTTTTTGGCTTATTTCTAGGAACTTCCTGTCACTAACCAGGACAATCTGGGGTGATTGAATACAACGTACATGTAGATACCCGTTAGTTTAGACCCCTTTATGAATAATGTGGTTCCCCATAAATTCAAGTTTATTAATTTTAAATGTTAAAATGATATGAAGTTTATCAAGGTTTATCTGTAGTATGGGAAGGGAGTGAGGAAACGTACTGTAGTTTTAATATGATTTACCTCCTGTTTACCTAGGCCCGTCGAACGCGTCCGTATGTATAGGAAACGAGTTTTAATGGAAAACTTGCTTATTGTTCTTACATTCGACAGCTTGTATATCGGAAGGCACCAGTCTTATACTTAGTTTCATTTTCAGACATCCAACTGTGCCTTCAGTTTGTCTGAGTCTCTTACCCGCAGACGGTATTCTGAATTTGAATGGCTGAGAAAGAGGCTTCGTTTGCACCATCCATTGCTGTGAGTAAATGCACACACGTATATTTAAGCATATTTTATATCATAGGTACTACCAATCAAGAAATGCAGATCTCACGCACCCCCTGTAACAATGTAATTTTCTATAATTAAGCATTGGTTATAAACAAGAGAATCTACTGTTGTATAAAGTAAGAGAATAACGGGATGATCATGAGGTTCAGATAACAAAAACAGTACATGTTACATGTACATGTTAAACAGACAGGTGATACAGGCTCTCTCCAGGGCTTTATATTGTACATGTTAAATAGAACACCTTTTTTGTTGTTGTAGAAAACCTCCACCACTGCCACCAAAGAAAATCTTTGGGGATCGGTTTGATGCTGATTTTATAGCGTTTAGAATGAAGGATCTGGAGAACTTCCTCATCAAGTAAGTCAGGAGCTCGTTTTCAGTGAAAAGTTGTCCTTATCTGAATGTATGATCTTTAGTATAGGTTAGTAAAGGTTAAGTTGTCTGCATCTAATCCATGACTATTATTAGCTCACTGGTCAAAAGGACCAAGGTGAGCTTATGCCATACCGTGGCGTCTGTTGTCCCTCCGTTGTCAATTTCTTCAAACAACTTCTTCTCCTTAACTGCTGATCGAAATTTAACCAATTTGGACCAGAAGCATCTCTTGGTGGTGGGGATTCAAAATTGTATAAATTGCTGAGCATCAAGAAACAAACACAAACATGATATAAGAATTGACCCTGGGGTCTGGCCCCACCCTTAGGGACTTAATTCCTCAGCTATAACTTTGAAACAGTTGAGATCCCCACCCCATAACCATATATACCATTGTTGGGTATCAAGTGACAAACACACTCATTTAATATAAGAATTGAACCTTTGGTCTTGCTCTACCCCCTAGGGACTTAATTCCTGGGCCATAACTTTGAAATGGTTGAGATCCTCCAACCCATAACCATATATATCATTGCTGGGCATCAGGAGACAGACACAATCATAATACTAACATAATTTTTTATGTATTGACTCATTGGTCTAGTCCACCCCTAGGGACTTAATTTCTGGGTCATAACTTTGGAATGGTTAAGATCTTCAACTGATAGCCATTTATACCATTACTGGGCATAAAGATCCTGGTGTGCAATACAGGCCCTCTGGATCTCTTGTTATAGATTACATTATCGGAAGAATTAAAAGGTCAATAGACATTAGACTTTGATTTTAAGTAGACCATTAAGTATGTACCTTTTTCATTGTTCTGAGATCATCACATCTAAATGGTTGAAATACCCATCGTATAACCATTTACATGCTTGCTGGGCATGACAAAAAATCCACAAGCATGTATGCTACCAAGATTTGAGTATTGTGTTTTTGTCAAAAGTCAACTTGGTATACTGTCTATGATCAAATGATAACAGGCTTTAATGGGAGGAAAGGTTGTAAGAACTTGGTTAAGCTCCACATGGTACAGGATCCTAATGTTTGGCCAGTAGATACCTGCATGGATAAAGTTTTCTTATGCAAATGACATTGACATACTTTCAAGGTTACATTAAGCAACTTCAAGCAACATTTTTTATAGAACTGTCAAGTCTACAGTCATGATACTTGAGAATGTTATGTGACTAGGGTCAAAGGTTATCGTGAGCTATATTTATGTATAATTGGTAATGGAGGTCAAACAATCCATAATCAAATGTAATGTACACATGTTATTCTCCTGTTGTTGTCTAGGTTACTGGAGGTCAAGCTGTTCGTGTCAGATGCCTTATTACACCTGTTTATACAGTCAGACCTTACCTGTAAGGATATTGATGATGTCATGGATGGGAAAATGGGAGCTGATGTTATAGAGCACATATGGCAAAGTGGCGGGATCAAAGAAAACTGCAGGTATCAACAGAGGTCAAGCAATCTGATTCCTATTTTGGTATTTGTTTTGCCCGATAAAAGATGTGAAATTTTTGCCTCATCATTGACCTTGATTTAAAGGCTGTTGTGGTTTTTGGTCACATATGTTTCAGCTTATTTTGTAAATCCATCTTTCCTTGTGGTAAAACCTCTGTGCAGAAATGATGTCTTTCCCCAGTGCTGCCCTTGTTTGAAGGAGTGGCCTTTTTATATGCCCGTCAAATTTGACGGGAGTATTATGGTATGGCGGTGTCCGTCTGTCTGGTATAAACTTTTGTTTGTCCGGCAATCTCCTCCTACATTTTTCGACCCATCTCTTTGAAACTTGGTATACATTATAATCATGATATGAAGTTGTGTCTCCCTTAAAAGAATTTTGATTCAACAATTTTTCCAAAAGTTATTGCCCTTTGTTTATTTCAGTATTTGATTTTTGTCCAGGAATCTCCTCCTACATATTTTCGACGGATCTCTTTGAAACTTGGTATACATTATAATCATGATACGAAGTTGTGTCTCCCTTACAAGAATTTTGATTCAACGTTTTTTGCAAGAGTAATTGCCCTTTGTTCATTTCAGTATTTATTTTTTGTCCGGAGATTTTCTCCTACATTTTTATCTCACAAAGTGCCAAGTGAGCTTATGCCGTGGCGCGGCGTCCAGCGTCAATATTTTACTTTAATTGACTTCTTCTTAATAACCGAAAGGCCTAGGGTGTCGATATTTGGCCAGAAGCAAACTGGGATGAAGGGCTACAAAGTTAATGACCTTCACCCATTTTCAAGGTCACAGTGGTCAAATATTTTAAAAACATTAAATAACTTCTTCTGAATGACCAAAATGCACAGGGTGATGATATTTGGCCAGTAGCATGCTAGGGTAAAGGGCTATCAAGTTTGTTCAAATGAATGACCTTCACTTATATTCAAGGTCACAGGGGTCAAATATTTTAAAAACATTAAATAACTTCTTCTGAATGACCAAAATGCACAGGGTGATGATATTTGGCCAGTAGCATGCTAGGGTAAAGGGCTATCAAGTTTGTTCAAATGAATGACCTTCACTTATATTCAAGGTCACAGGGGTCAAATATTTTAAAAACATTAAATAACTTCTTCTGAATGACCAAAATGCACAGGGTGATGATATTTGGCCAGTAGCATGCTAGGGTAAAGGGCTATCAAGTTTGTTCAAATGAATGACTTTCACCTATTTTCAAGGTCACAGGGGTCAAATATGTGAAAAACATTAAACAAGTTCTTCTTAATAACCAAAATGCACAGGGTGATGATATTTGGCCAGTAGCATGCTAGGGTAAAGGGCTATCAAGTTTGTTCAAATGAATGACTTTCACCTATTTTCAAGGTCACAGGGGTCAAATATGTGAAAAACATTAAACAAGTTCTTCTTAATAACCAAAATGAAAAGGGTGATGATATTTGGCCAGTAGCATGCTGAGATGAAGGGCTACACAGTTTGTTCAAATGCATGACCTTCACCCATATTCAAGGTCACAGGGGCCAAATATGTTAAAAACTTTAAACAACTTCTTCTGAATAACCAAAATGCCCAGGGTGATGATATTTAGTCAGTAGCATACTAGGATCAAGGGCTACCGTGTTTGTTTCAATGTCTGACCTTGAAACATATTCAAGGTGACAAGGAGCAGATATGTTCAAAATATTTAAACAACTTGCTCTGAATAACCAAAATGCTCAGGATGTTGATATTTAGTCAGTAGCATGCTGGGATCAAGGACTACTGTACTATGTTGTTAAAGTGAATGACTTTGACTTATATTCAAGGTCACAGGGGTCAAATTTGTTTAAAATCTTTGAATGACCTCTTCTGAATAATCATGGGTCCCAGGATGTTGATACTTTGCAAGTTGCATCCTGAGATGAAAGGCTATTAAATTTGTTCAACATAATGACTTTGTTCGACTTTCAATCACAGGGATGAAATGTTTTAAAAAAAATTAACAGGATCTTTTGAATGAATTTTAATCATAAATACTGATATTTTTTCCTGTAGCTTTATTTTAGATAACTTTTAAGGTTGCAAGTGTGAGATTTATACCAGGTGAGCAATGCAGGCCCATTGGGCCTCTTGTCTATAGAATGTCAGCTAACCACTCTTAGAATAATGCAGATATTATTTCAATGTAAGCAAGTATATAACACTATATGGCATTCGACAGGCATATATTGTTCCTCCCCACTATACTCTTGTTAGCATAATGCTCTCACTTGGCCCCGGAAAACAAGGCGTCCAAATTGCCCGCAGCCTTACCTAAAAAGATTTTTTTTATCTGAGAAGCAGGGCAAACAAAAGTTCTTAGGGATGTGCTACCATCTCTTCATAGTCTAGTGATAGGGGCCCACACAAGATGTACTGTCCCAGTGTAACCAAAGTTTGGCATGTCCCTTAGGTGGTAAGGGGGTTGGGCCTTCTGTTCAGGAACTCCCTGGAGCATAGGAGGTACAGCCATTTTGACACAATCATTGACTCTGTGGATAATTCCAGCACACAAGATACATCCATAACTGGTTCATGATAAGACTTTCATTGTCGTACTCACTATTAATTAATCAGCTTTTCTAGAAATGAGCTATGAGTTATAATTGTTGCATTTCTTTGATTGTTATGACAGAGATTTCAACAAGAATGCTGTGATAACAACAAAGTCTGATGTCAGCCCACTTGATGAACCGAATGAGGATGCGAGTAGCGTTATAAGTGACAGCAGTGTGGACTACTTAACTGAGAGCACAAGCTCGTCAGTGACAGAGGAGGAGTTCAGTGCATTTCCACCTCTGTCAGAGGTGATAGACAACAGTGGCAGTGAGCTGTCTCCCACAGGTCATGTGACGCCAACAGCAACCAATGGAGGGACAGCTGCATCACAAATAAACAGGAAAGACGCCAAAAACAATATAGAAACTGGCATATTTGTAGATAAGTTTAAGTATTTAAAACAAAATGGTGAAAACAGGAGAGAGGAAGACTTGGAATCTGATTCTGACATAGAGGTGTTAAGTAATGTCGTGGCGAGTACCAGAGAGAATGAACTTACATGTACACAGACCTCACAGTGTATGACAGAAACAGTTAGTCCAACTCAGCATTCGGGTCCCCAACAAACTCATGTCACTTGCAGAATGAGTTATAGCATTAATGGTGATATCTGCTGACGTAAGGCACACATAAAGGACAAGTTAATGAGATTAGTTCCTATGATGGTTTGTGACTTTTCAGGACTCCAGGATCTATAGTTCTGAGGTTCTAAGATTTTAAAAGCTTGGTTATTTCATGGTTACCATGTGAATAAGAAAAGTACATTTTATCTTAAGTAACAATGGATTTTATTTCACTTATACTTACCATTATTTTAGTATGCATATCTTTCCACTCCTCCTTTTAGTTATTGTCATGATATAAAAGGAAGAAATCCCCAAACTTCCCCTGAGAGGTCCTTCTATATAGCTACTCTGCTTGCATATGCAAGCATGACATAATAATAAAAAAAAACAAAAAAAAACAACAACATTTTATATAGCGCCCTATGGCTATCTAGCTAACATAAGCCCCTCTAAAGCGCTTTACAGTACATAGGTATACAATTTTATACAGTCAATACAATTAGCATATATATTAATCAATACAATATTGAGGAATTCGCAGGAGCTACCTTATCAGGTGCTAACTACTAGTCCTATGCCACCTGGCTAATATCTCCCTATGTGTGTATGCCTGTGTGTGTGCTGGAGATGTATTGTGTTCTGTTTGTAATGGAAACCGTGCTTCCAACGGTATCATTTATATTGCCACCTCACTTGAATGCTACAGCACAGATACCGTAACACCCACCCCAGACCATTTTATACTCCACCTGGGTTGTTGGAGTTGTGTGGGCAGGAGAAAAACACTTTCTCTAATAGTCCATGCATACAGCGACTTGGGGTTCGAACCCCGTCCGTCTGCTTGGAAGGCCAGAGTGTTAACCACTCGACCAATCCGCCAATGGTACTACTCTTTTTGTTATGGCACTGAACTGAACAGCTGTGTAGTGATCTCTTGTCTACAGAACCACACTGCAGGGTGGTAAACATATTTATTACATTTTAGCAGAGAAATATGTATTAAAAGTTATTTCTCTCACTTCCCTGTGTGTAAGATAGAGCTGTCCAGGGTAAGAAAGGGGTGTAGGAAATTTATATCTTACACCCCATTTCAATGACTTGATGTCACGAATTTGGAACTTTCCAATGACGAAATGCAGAAAAGGCAATGTGATACGATATAACGATATATTACTGTACACATTAGAAAGGTGGGATTAATTTTTCTGCGCAAACATTGTTTGCAAGTGAAAATAGAAATGATGAGCAACAACACCACCCCAGTTGTTACTAATTATTGTTTGCAAATATGGGATATGCTAAATCTGGCTGGCTAATTCATTCTCGTCTAAAAAGCTCAGAGGAAAAATTGATATTTTCAAAATGGTGGCCAGCCCAAACGCATTTTCATGGTTCCTGAGCTTATTCTGTTGGTTGGAAAGAGAAAAATACTCTTTCATGCCCAAGGGTGTAGGAGAGGGAAATTCCACCCTCAGGATTTTCAAATATGCAATTTGAAAACCCCTCAGGGGGAATTTTCCTATCCTACACATGAAAGAATCTTATAATCTTCACATGTGATGACTTGAAGTCCAGTGTCAATTTTACATTGACCCATCAAAAATTATATTTTCTATTTCCTGCTCCAGATTTTCTGTTCAGTTGAATTGCTGATGAAGCATCTTTGGTATATACACTGAGTTGTTGTCATACATAATTGACAATATTTTTGGTACCAGAAAATAGCAGGAAACGGTAGAAGTTCATTGAGTAGCCTTTAGCTGCTACTCGATACTTCAACCATTTGCTGTATTTCAAATGGGTATGAATTGCCCATTTGTCATATCTTGCCCATTTTAAATGGCGCACAGCTTTGTTGTCAAGTACGTGTGACATCAAAAGCATGAACCTTAAGTGTCAAATATTTTACTACTAATTCCCGCCCTTTTTTGATGCAGCAGTATTTTCTTCGTTTTACTTAAAAAAATGTAATATATACATGTAAAATATTTTAATAGTTTTCCTATTAAAAACCATGTATATTTGGTATAACCATATATATGTGCTTCACACTTGTGAAAAGTATTGGTTTTCTGCCATACTTGTGAAATTTGTATGGTATTCAATTGGAAACCATTCAGTATCCTCTATTCATTTGTCATCATTTTATATTGTTTGTAGTTATTGCTGTATTGTCCAAACTGTTACTGTATTTTAATGTGTGAGATCTCACATTCTGTGCGCTCTGGCCATTTAAGCTGTGCTAAGTTATGCATGATAAAGCCTATGAAGGCTGGGCTTGTCTTCTTTACAGGGTAAGTGATCATGCTTACCTTGGTCTCTTCTCACGAGTCTTTACAGGGTAAGTGATCATGTTAACCTTGGTCTCTTCTCACGAGTCTTTACAAGGTAAGTGATCATGTTAACCTTGGTCTCTTCTCACGAGTCTTTACAGGGTAAGTGATCATGTTAACCTTGGTCTCTTCTCACGAGTCTTTACAGGGTAAGTGATCATGTTAACCTTGGTCTCTTCTCACGAGTCTTTACAGGGTAAGTGATCATGTTAACCTTGGTCTCTTCTCACGAGTCTTTACAGGGTAAGTGATCATGTTAACCTTGGTCTCTTCTCACGAGTCTTTACAGGGTAAGTGATCATGTTAACCTTGGTCTCTTCTCACGAGTCTTTACAGGGTAAGTGATCATGTTAACCTTGGTCTCTTCTCACGAGTCTTTACAGGGTAAGTGATCATGTTAACCTTGGTCTCTTCTCACGAGTCTTTACAGGGTAAGTGATCATGTTAACCTTGGTCTCTTCTCACGAGTCTTTACAGGGTAAGTGATCATGTTAACCTTGGTCTCTTCTCACGAGTCTTTACAGGGTAAGTGATCATGTTAACCTTGGTCTCTTCTCACGAGTCTTTACAGGGTAAGTGATCATGTTAACCTTGGTCTCTTCTCACGAGTCTTTACAGGGTAAGTGATCATGTTAACCTTGGTCTCTTCTCACGAGTCTTTACAGGGTAAGTGATCATGTTAACCTTGGTCTCTTCTCACGAGTCTTTACAGGGTAAGTGATCATGTTAACCTTGGTCTCTTCTCACGAGTCTTTACAGGGTAAGTGATCATGTTAACCTTGGTCTCTTCTCACGAGTCTTTACAGGGTAAGTGATCATGTTAACCTTGGTCTCTTCTCACGAGTCTTTACAGGGTAAGTGATCATGTTAACCTTGGTCTCTTCTCACGAGTCTTTACAGGGTAAGTGATCATGTTAACCTTGGTCTCTTCTCACGAGTCTTTACAGGGTAAGTGATCATGTTAACCTTGGTCTCTTCTCACGAGTCTTTACAGGGTAAGTGATCATGTTAACCTTGGTCTCTTCTCACGAGTCTTTACAGGGTAAGTGATCATGTTAACCTTGGTCTCTTCTCACGAGTCTTTACAGGGTAAGTGATCATGTTAACCTTGGTCTCTTCTCACGAGTCTTTACAGGGTAAGTGATCATGTTAACCTTGGTCTCTTCTCACGAGTCTTTACAGGGTAAGTGATCATGTTAACCTTGGTCTCTTCTCACGAGTCTTTACAGGGTAAGTGATCATGTTAACCTTGGTCTCTTCTCACGAGTCTTTACAGGGTAAGTGATCATGTTAACCTTGGTCTCTTCTCACGAGTCTTTACAGGGTAAGTGATCATGTTAACCTTGGTCTCTTCTCACGAGTCTTTACAGGGTAAGTGATCATGTTAACCTTGGTCTCTTCTCACGAGTCTTTACAGGGTAAGTGATCATGTTAACCTTGGTCTCTTCTCACGAGTCTTTACAGGGTAAGTGATCATGTTAACCTTGGTCTCTTCTCACGAGTCTTTACAGGGTAAGTGATCATGTTAACCTTGGTCTCTTCTCACGAGTCTTTACAGGGTAAGTGATCATGTTAACCTTGGTCTCTTCTCACGAGTCTTTACAGGGTAAGTGATCATGTTAACCTTGGTCTCTTCTCATGAGTCTTTACGGGGTAAGTGATCATGCTAACCTTGGGCTCTTCTCATGAGTCTTTACAGGGTAAGTGATCATGCTAACCTTGGGCTCTTCTCACGAGTCTTTACAGGATAAATGATCATGTTAACCTTGGTCCCTTCTCACTAGCTCTTCATTTCAGGATGTTATATCTGTGGCCTTATGGCCAGACTACTTTACTGACTCTATATGTTTCACTCTGTCTGGACACTAATCTTTTCCTCTTCATCCTGTACTTCCATAGTTTGCATTGGTTTTGATAAAGAAAGAAGTAGTACCACATCATGCAAGCCTACCGTAACAGGGCAGAGAGTCGGCCCAAGGCATGTTTTACATTCTGTTTTCTTTAACGTTATAATATATAAGTATCACACAGGTAATTTAAGTATTTAAAGATATGCATAATAACATTATGGTAAATATTACATCATGAATATGTGTTTCGCAAGAAAAATGTTTCTTATCCGAAATTTATAAAACATGGCCAGTGGATGTACTTTTATTTACACTGTACACTGTATGTGTTCATAGCAGGTTGATGAAGCCTGGAGATAAAGCATTTGTCATAGAATGAGAGGCTAAGCCCAGGGTTTGTAGGTATCTTTTTGAATAAGTAAAAGATGTTTTATTTGCAATTGGCAAAGGTAAAATGCAAAATTGGTGAGCTGACATTGTATGCAATCCTCCTTAAATATAAATATAAACTGTAACATTTTACAACAATTATGAAACACGTTGTTTCAACTTATATAGTTCACTCTTGTTGGCCCGAATGTGGGAGGAAACAGAGTACCCAGACAAAACCCACACAATTTGACAGGTGATACCTTTTCACATCCGATTGGGGAATCAAATCCTGGTCGCCTTGGTGAAAGGCAAGTACACTATCCAGTGTGCCACCTGGTGAAAGGCAAGTACACTATCCAGTATGCCACCTGGTGAAAGGCAAGTACACTATCCAGTGTGCCACCTGGTGAAAGGCAAGTACACTATCCAGTGTGCCACCTGACCACCCTCGACAATCCTCCTTGACCTCAGACAATGCCTGTAGTATAGACTACAGAAGATACAGGTACTGACAGGAGGTCAGACTACACAATTGTTTACACACTAAAAAAGGCATTTTTGATTATATACTTGTTAATTTTTTGTTTACATATTTTTTTTAAGATATAAACCACCAGTTGCAATTGTACTGTCTCCAGTGTTTAATATTTCAGCAATTTACATCCTTATATTTATTTATAGTTTGTCACTATGATCATGTTTGGGTAAGCAGTCTGTCGTCCTGCAGTACAACGTCCAAGCTTCCTTTTACAGGGAGGTAGTAATTGTGTATACTAGTCGCTGCTATATCTTGGCTTGGTGATTCACATACTGTACATTGTGAGTTTGAGGCCCAAAAGTGACACAAGTCATGAAACTTGTCCACTTTCATTGTTTG